TCACATTGTACTCTTATTCAACAGAGAAAACCCGCCACTTACAGAATGGAATAAAATCTGACAATTGTAACATTAACAATTTAAGCAATCTTAATAATTAAGAAAAACACATATATTAATGTTTAATTTTGTTCACGTTAAAACATTGACATAAACATGAATAAATACTGTAGACCTAATCATAAAAAAAATTGAAATAGAAAAACCAAATTATGATTTTTTTAAATGTTAAAAATTTATTTTGAATCCGACTAAAATCAAATGAATGCAGGATGGCGTGCATTTCGATACTATTTTCTTCAGAACCACGCCTAAGAATTAGGCCTACGTTAAAATTAGGTGGGGTGCAGCATCTGATATCAATTATCCACAATAGGAACAATTGGTATTGTTGAGTGACAGACTTCAGTCCTTCATATTTGTTCGGCCATTGGGGGATATGTTTGAAACCCGTCAGTGACAAGGATGCATCCAATGACGTGATTCACCAGTGACATGTCGGTCCTTTTCAAATATTTACTTTAATAATACTAATTAGTCATAATAACGATAATAAAGGTGATAACAACAACAATATTAATAGTAATATTTATTTTAACAATACTAATAGAAATAATATGGTAATAATAACGATATTTAAATATCTATTTTAATAATACTAATTTTAATAATAACATTGAAGGTGATAATAGCAATAATAAATTAAAGATAACGTTTATTTTTATAATAATAGTAATACTAATTAGTAATAATAATAATTATGATACTTATAATACTAGGCCTACTTAGTAATAATAGGGTAATAATATCGATAATAAAGGTGACAACAACAACAACAACAATAATAATAATAATATGAGAAAAATACCAATAAAACACCAATAACAATATTTTTAAAATTACTATTATTAAAATAATAATACTAAGACTAATATATAATAATAACATGAATTAAAAAAAATCGAGAATTTTGTATTATTTATATGGTAACAATAATAATAGCAAAAATTTAAACAATACATGTTAATGCTAAGACTAATAATTAATATTAAAACTAACGGTAATAAAAACAACAATAATAATATAACAATGACACCAATAATAACAGCAATATTATTGTGGCCGAGTTGACTTGTGGCCGAGTTGACTGCAGCCGAACTTTTTGTGGCCGAGTTGATTTGTGGCCGAGTTGACTTGTGGCCGAGTTGGATCGAATTCACTGTATGTATGTATAGTAGTAAATAAAATAGGCATTTTAGCCTTAGGCTGAGAGCCTATGCCCCCTATTTAGGCCTTCCCTGATTTTCTTACTTACCAGTGATCTTTACAGCATATATTCCCGAGTGTGATGCAGCGGAGTGACATCCTCCTAAATGTTTACTTTTGACTGGTGGTTAATAGGGAAAACTTTATCAGAATTGGTAGACCAATTCATCTTCGCGAGTGGGGTGCAGGTCAATCTACTCCACTTTCAGCAGAAATTGTAAACTTAGGTGACATCATTGCCGTCTACTCAACAGGGCTCACTGATTGGTTTGTTGAGCAGAGCCGTCCTACTAAATAGGGGCCTACCACACGGAACCACTCGGGACCACTCGCGACCACACGGGTGCAAAAATGATAAAAATATTACCACACGAGAGTAGCTACTTAATAATCAATAGAAACCAACTTTTAGTACGGTAATTATCCATAATATGGTAAAAATGATTTTTTTTTACAGGTTTTTCCGCCGTGCTTCGGAAGGTAATGCGGTGACATTGAGGTTCTGTAACGCATTCACGCCTCCAGAAACGCGTTCAACCTTGACCTCTACAACATTCACTACGTACAGTACGTTACATTTCATCCTGCGTGTATGCCTATTGTATGTATAGGCCTATTATTCTACAATAACTGTATTTATTACTGTATCTGCTTTGTATTTTTTATACTTATGTGTTTCTGACTCTTATTATTTTAATTTTTTTTATTTGTATTGATCCTGTAGTTATGTTATGTTTTAGCCCAGAGACAAATCTAGTTAACTTCTTATGAATAATGTTTTTAAAGATGGTATTTTGAGATGTTTTCTATGAAAATAAATAAATAAATGGCAGTAGTACCGCTTTTTGTGTTTCAATGTTTTTGTTTTTTTTTTGTTTTTTTTTTAAATGAAATGTTTCACTGTTTGTTATCTTCTTTGCTGGGATCTGCGGATGACCGGAGATTATGATCCCTGAGCAGTCCCCCAGTATAAACAATAAGGTAAATAAATAGATAAAAAATGAAAGGAAGGTTCTTTCAAATATTGTTGTGCTTCTTAATATGATTTTGTTGGTTTCGATACACCGTATCATTGGGAGTGTAAGCTCAATAATTTATAATTATAATCGAGAGACTTATTCTAAAGTATTCAAGGCACTCCACGTGAAGTCTAATTAACTTAACAATTGTATATAATAAAAATGAAAAATATGTTTTGTTAATAGTAACATTTAATAAACAAAATTGCACTATTTATTACACATGATAATAATATTAAGAATAATTATTTTTATTTATTATTATCATGCTATATTATTATTATTATATGTTAATGTAATAGGCCGTTGTTAGGTGTTAGGTTATACCTAATACATTTATTTTACTATAATACAATGTTAAATACTGTTATGTTAGTTTTACTATACCTTGTAATAGTTTAGACTGTATTAGCCATTTTGTAGAGTGCATGTACAAAGTTCGTTCTAAAGTGCCCTCATAAATTTTGTTGTCCAAATCACCTGTTGGCTAATATTCCAAATAAGGTTAAGGGACT